TGTATAAATACTGAGAATTGTGAATAAATAATTCAGTTTTGAACGATCACTCAACATGGTTGAATCATTAACCCTCAGTTTGTCTGGTAGATCATCTATAGTAGAAACATATTATTTTCCACCGATAGAACTGGATAGAGATAAAACTTATGTTCTTGGTTTGGTAGAATTACTTACATTCAATTCGATACCAAATGTTGATGTTCGACACAATAAGTTCAAAGTTGGTGACATTGAAATTGAACTACCAACAGGCAGTTATGAAATTGGTGACATAGATAAATATTTGAAAGGTTACTTGAAGTCAACAGGGATAAAACTTGAAATAAAGCTCAACAACAATACTTTATGCAGTGAAATAACTTGTAATGACCCAATCGATTTTAAATCAAATAACTCTATTGGATGTTTGTCAGGTTTCACCAAACGGTTGTTGCCTGTAGATATAAATAATGTCTCTGACATGCCTGTTGCCATTCTCAAAGTGAACGCGCTACGCGTCGAATGTAACATAACATCTGAAGCATATGTCAATCAAAATAAGGGACATATCATTCACGAATTCTTTCCAGCTGTACCACCAGGATATAAAATCTTGGAAGTTCCTAAACAGATCATATATTTGCCTGTAACAGTCAAAGTTATCGATCATTTACAGCTGCGTCTAATTGATCAAGATGGAAATTTAATAAACTTTCGTAGTGAAACAATCACGATCCGTTTACACATAAAAAGAGTTTTATGATGGGAATAGTTTATAATCATAAAGTAGGCAACGGCTATATAACAACTCCATCATGCGCCCAGAAAGTCAGTCATCGACGGATAGCCAAAAGTCTAACACGTCGCAACATTCAGTTCCTGAAAAATCTCGGTCTGAACGTCGTCGGAAGCGTCGCAATAAAAAGAAGAAACGTGAAAAATTTGAAAAACTAACTTGTATATTTGTGTGTTTTTGTCATCTTAAAGATGGAAGAAATACTTAGTGTGCAAGCACCTGTCATTTTTTATGAATCCATAGCTCACTATGAAGTTCATGCACACCAACCTTATAATTCACAAACATTCAATAATAGCGATGAAATTCGCATATTGATACAACATCAAGATTTATGTCTTTAACCATCAAAAAGTTCTCTACACATCGTTGGAAAAATAAGAAGACAAGATGGTACTATTGTTACTGAAACAAAGTTCGTCAATAATGCTATATGTCACCTATTCGAAGATATCCGATATGAAATTAATGCCATTGAGATAGACAAATGTAAAAATGTTGGACTAACAAGTACAATGAAAGGTTTGGTTTCATTGAATCAAAATCAAAGTCGATTTCTGGAGAATGCTGGCTGGCTTGATATTGAAGAAACTAAGACGATAACTGACAACAATGGTAACTTTGATGTGTCAATACCTCTTTCAATGATTTTAGGATTTGCTGAAGACTATCACAAAATTGTTGTGAATGTAAAGCATGAACTTATTCTTACTCGATCAAGAGATAATTTAAACGCAGTCATGCAAAATACTGTCAAAATTGATAATGTTGATACATATGAGCCTCTTAAAATAGAATTGACAAGAATTGAATGGTTAATGCCCTATGTAATTATGTCCGATAGACGTAAAATACAGTTGTTCAATTTTATTCAGAAAGATGCACCTATTTCTATGAGTTTTCGGTCGTGGGAACTTTATGAGTATCCAGCATTACCACAAACATCAAAACATCTTTGGACTATAAAAACATCCAATCAATTGGAAAAACCAAAATATATTGTATTAGGTTTTCAAACAAAACGCAAGTCTGATAAAACTAAAAATTCTAGCAGATTTGATCATTGTAATGTAACCAAAGTTAAACTTTTTCTAAATTCTCAGCAATATCAATATAGAAATTTGAATCTTGATATAAGTAACAATCAATACTCTGTCTTATATGATATGTATGCTCAATTCCAATTGAACTATTACAATAGAGACTGTATGTTCAATCCACTTTTAGATCGAAAACAATTTATCACACATGCACCATTAATAGTGATAGATTGTTCAAAGCAAAATGAACCTTTGAAACAAGCTGCTGTCGATGTACGTCTTGAGTTTGAAACCAAAAATGATGTGCCCGCGGAAACAGCTGCATATTGTTTGATTTTACACGATCGTATAGTTAAGTATAATCCTATAAGTGGTCATGTAACCAAACTTGTATAACTCGTATAATAGCTATGTATACTTTTTCTGAATACGTAACTCTAATTGAAGAACTTGAGGAAAAAGCACTTGGATTGAGACATCTTGGTGGATATTTACTTGAATTTGTAAAACCATAAAGTTTTTATCAATGTAACAGAATATTGTATAAATAAAACCCAAGTCGAATAAATACTTCAGTCTTTTTCATTCATTTTAACGATGAGCATTGATGTGTTTGGACGCAAACTTGGTAGAGCTGACGAATTAAACTTGAAAAATTTACATGAGAATCTGTTAGTCGAACTAAAAAATATTAAAGATACTATATTAAAGCTGAATTAAAAGAAATGAGTTTATTGATCAATATTCATCGAGAGGAACTTGATATGAAATTTCTAGGGGTATATTCAGTCATTGACAAGTTGAAGCAAAGTCAGTTACCCCCACCATGATATGCTTGCAGCTTATATAAGGAAGCTTGGCTCATGAACCATTCACTTTTTTCACCACAGCTCGTTCACCTTCTGTAGCAGTACCAGCTCAATCATGACACAATTTATTGATTTCATTCAAGCTAAGGTATTAGCCAGCTTGAATGCACATATTATTTCTATGTTTGATGGTACAGACCCTACGATTCAAAAAGAGATGGATTACTTAGAGTATTACTATGACGAAGGTATAGAATTGATAACAGATGCTTATTATTATGAATATTCGGAGAAAGATTGCAGAAAAATTGAATACTCCATAGCCTTGTTGAAAGCTCTTTGGTATATGAAAGATTACCAGAAGACAATTGGTCATGGAAATGGTTATATTCATGATTTTAAACTAGATGATATTCCAAGTGCTATTCAAAGTAGGTTAGCTACACAAACATTGACGAATATTCGTTATTCAATAAACAAGGTTTTTTTCAAATATGTGGCTGAATGTGTTCAAGCCACGGTATTTAATTTGGTCAAAAAGGCATTTCTAGGGGAAGTAGACATTGTTTTTACAGCTGTGTATCAAGAACAAATTAGCAATCAATCTCCAAAAAAAATAAAAGTCAAGCTGTTCAAAGTGGAAACTATTCCTCTTTACTCAACTCAAACCTATCAGAACTCGAACCTCTGATGACTATGATGGAAAAATTTGAACGTAACTATCCTTCTTACTCTTTTGAATTTATGACAAATACAGTTGTCAGCTATTATAAGTAGCGCAGTTTGAGCATCATCAGATCATTCAACACCAAACATTCGAATAATATGGACCGCTATCCAAACGTGAAGTACTCTCGTCTTCTGCAAATCAACAGTTTGACAACGGAAAGAAAAAAAACAAATAATCATATGTACATGTATAATCATTGTAAGCATATAATCATCACGCTCGACTTCAATAATTGTTTAGTTGTTTATAATTTATGATAATAAATAGATTTTTTTTTCATGTAAATTATATCTCTAATTATTTAATAAACCTAACCCCGAAAGATGATAATAAAAAACTTTTATACTTACACAGACCTACACTTTCTACTCAATCACAATCAATCAGCATAAAGCAAACATTTTTTTTATTTTGGCATAGAACAAGGGGCATGGGGCATGGGGACGGGGGCATGCACGTCGATAATACAAGAGTCGGTAACTGCCGGCGGGGCCCATGGGGTCTGCACGTCGGCACACAGTCGGTCGCAAACGATTCCCGTCAAGCAGGTCGATATACATTGATCGATAATGCAGCTCATAGATCGCCAATATGAGGAGTTATAACGTTACCGATCGTCGGTAGAGTAGGCATCGAAAAATCGCATGGTAAGTGGCTCAAGATCCCCTTAGCCCCTACTACTTATGTGATAAAATATCTCTAAATATTTTGACAGGACTTTTTAACACATTTAACCGTACTTCGCAAAAGGGAAGCCTCCCTTGTATTGCGCGGACAGCTGGGGGAAGATGTCTATCGCTAGTACTCGTTATCTTCTTCTACCTCTTGCAGCGGGGGCTTGATGTACAACGGTTGAGAGCCTGTGGTTACTCACTCTCCTGCAATGGCTTACTAAGATGCTCTTGCAAGGGTGAATGAGGAGAAAGTGAACGACTCATTACCAGCCGGGGCTTTCTCGCAGTCCTCGGCTTGCGCTTTCCTTCATCCCCATTTGACCTACAATTTTTAGGCGGCATGCGACGCAACGCTTATCTGTTATGTATCGCAGATCTGCATAGTGCGTGCACTTTCTCTCTTCTCGTTCTCACTCATTCTTTCGATCGCTTCTCGGCAATCATCAACGTTGACGAAAAAGCCAAGTGTTAGGCTCATTCTATTATGAGCCCAACATTGTGCCTGTGTGCCTGTGACCTCATTTCAATCGCATTTATTGCATTGTATTTTGTGATAATTTGTCTCATGACATAGTAATTTGGTTTTAGAAACTCATAATACTTAGATTCCTATTGAAGTAAAGAAGTAAAGTTTTCTTTACCTATCCCCTTATAAAAAGTAATAGATGCCTTATTAAAGCATTTCATTCATAATCTTATCGCTCATAAAATGATTAAAATAAAAATGGTTGAGATATGGTCACGTGATATATATTATGTAAGGGAAATAATCGCGTATGTATTGTTTCGAGTTGAGTGCAGCATGACTAACTAATTAAATTTGCATATCTGGAATACGTTCTTTCCTAATTCTAATTTCATTATCTTTTAACTTAATTTATTTTACCAAGAACCCAGCTTCGAAAATGTATATAAATAATTTAAAATTTAGTAGAAATTAAAAAAAGTATTTTATTTATTATGCTGAAACTCCTAATACAAAATATAACTTTTTAAGATTGATAAAATGTTTAATTCTAAAAGTAAATCTTTTGGTTATCTATGAATTTTTATGCATTTAAGAGCCAATGTGACGTATGCTCATATACAACAAATGTTATTATTGTTGCTGGTATTACTCTGATTAAATTTATACTCAGTCCTTTATAGTATCCGTGCCATCCTTCGTATCTGAAAGTAATATAAAAATGTGAATTAAGTTACATATGTACAAAACTAAAATTATATATATAAATTATATATAATTTAAATCGTAATTACTAGCATTATATCGTAATGGATAACGGAGTTAATAAATTTATTATTCTATAAGTTCAGTAACCATTTTGTATAACATAAGGTACGATATCATTGCGAAACTTGTAAAAACTAATAATATAGGCGTAATACTCTTAAATATACAAAACGTTAAATATAATAAGAAGATTAGAAAAAGACATGACTATAAAAATGGTCGAATCTGAATTGTAAATCGAATGAGATGAAATATATATTGATAAAACCAAAGGGACATTGAAAATATGCATTCTTAAATATAAGAATAATAAGAACAAAGATATAATCACAAATATACGTATGCATAAACTCAATTACGAATTTGATTGGATCAACGCCAACATTTTAAATTTTAACTACGGGAAGCATTAATAAGCTAGTTTATCACAAATTCTATTTAACTAACAATTTTTTAATGCCGTGACACATTGCAATAGGTCCTCGATCTTTCCATTGTACGAGTTGATGTACATGGGAACTCAACGAAGGATTAATGAGAAATAAAATGCAAGACTGCCATGATCTTAGCAATTTTGTACGTAAATCATACAACTCTTACATATCAACTTTCTTCCGGGAGCCGGGAAATTAAATGAGACGGAAACGGAGAAAGAATCTTTAAGGTGACTTAGGAAAGGAGGATATTCAAATTCGATCGCCCGCTGCTGCTGTTGCTGTTGTTGCTACTGAGACATCACAGTTGATATAGTCGCAAATTATATACTCACATTTTATTTCGTGAAAAAAATGGAAACTTGGTGAAAAGCGAGTATCCTTGCTCCGATAATTTTCATTCAAGTAAATTTTTATATATTTTGTAATAACAAATGAAACCTCCTTCTCACTTTTAAGAAGGGCCTTTATACGTGAAACGCTAAAGGGCCAAAATTGTATGCAAAAAAAAAACGCTAAAAATCGTAATTTTTTACTTTTTCTCATGTTTCGATAGTTTTGTCGTAAATCAATATTTTTGGAGCATTTTTTAATTTTACTCATGAAAAAAATCTTCAAAAATATGTCTTTCTCCGATGTATTCCTGATGGGCTGAAGACTGCTATAATGGTTTTTCAAATGATAAAATGCAATTTTTTAAATTTTTTGTCTTTTTTTCTCATTTTTGACTAGGAAGCCTTCGAGACGTTATCTTGAAGCCTGTCCCATTATATTTTTTGGAAAAAAAATACAAAAGAATCACGATTAAGAAATCGCGGTGTAACTTCGGCAGAAAGTCAAAACTTAACGCAAACTCCCTACAACCATTAATTTCACAAGCTAACAAAATTTGAAAAATTTTATTTCCCAAAAACTCGAGTATACTTTTTCGGAGTATTCTGATGCGTTGTATCCCAAATCTGCCGTAGAATTACTCTATCTCTTCAAAGTGCAAAAAAACATTTTTATCCATTTTTGAGGTTATTTTACTCTTCAGGTTTTAGTATACCTAAAAAGCTACAAGTTTGAACTTTCAAATGACATATATCATTTTCTTTTGCTGCAATATCATATTGTGAGATTTTTATTATTCTAAAGAGCCCAGCCGGGTAAGCATGTGAAAAGTGCCCTTAGACCTTTCGAAAAAATGACAAAGCCCAATGTTCCGGCTTATAATGAAACCCCCTCTGCTAAATTTTCAGACCCATATTGACCCATAGGGCAAAATGGGACACTATTTTGTGGTTTTAGGTTTTTTGACAATAGCTCGGTTGGTTGTGAAGATACCTAAAAACTGTAAATACAAAAGTTGTAGGGTTTTTGAAGAGCTACAAACCTATAAACACCAAAATTCTTTTAGCGCGAAATTCAAATTTTTAAAAGCATTCGAAAATTCCATCTTAACGCCAATTTTGTCCATTCATACCTGCAACTCCGAAAAAAATCTTGAATGTTTCTCATAGATAGGAGTAGATGTGTGAATTTTTTCAGATTTTTATAGGTGGTAGAAGGTACCTAAAAAAAATAAAAACCACTAAAAACGAATAAAAAATCCAGTTTTTCGATTCTAGCTCTTTTTGGTTTCATTCCACGATAAAATCAATAGCGCCATCGTATTTTACGTTAAAAAATACGTCGAAAACATGCATAACACTTTTATCATCAGACCTATTACACCCTAAGAAATCGACGACTAAACTCCCAATCTTAGCTTGCCCACATGTAATACATGGAAAATCGAAGGTCGCACGTTTCATTGTCGATTTTTCATTACGCGGTAGAGCTAACGATGAAAGTATGATACATGTTTTCGACGTATTTTTTAACGTAAACACAATGGTGTAACTGGTTTTATGGTAGGCCTAATCCCGAAAACGATAAAAGCGAAAAACTAGTGGAAAGCAGCTGCTTTCCAGTAGTTTTTCGATATTTTTTCTACTATAGCACTTTTCAATTACATTCTACGATAAAACCAATCGCGCCATCGGGTTCTACGTTCAAAAATACATCAGAAACATACATCATACCTTTATTATTAGTATCATTATACGACGAGAAATCGACTATTAATCTCTGAAACTCCGTTGAAAGGCTGAACCCAATATTATTATTATTCCTGGCTACATGCATGACTTATGTTTACTACTCGTACCTTGATAATGATAAAAAAATATTATTTCCCTGTTCACGACGAAGTGCTAAATATCTTAGGATGTTCTTTGTGAAAAAAATCTGTAGGATTTTTCATCAGATTTTTGCACTATTTGGTACTGCGGCACTGTTGAATAAACCACGTAGTTTCAAAATTCTTTTTACTTACTTTTATTTTGCACCCAAATCTCCGATAAAAAAATATTATTTTTCTTTTCACGACGAAGTGCAAAAAATTCTAGGATTTTTAAAAGTGATAAAATACTATTAAATATTTCCAAAACTCAAAACAACGGTATTCCATCGACTATTCGATCGCAGTGCTGCCCTGGTGGCCATTTGCGAAACGATACCTTGCCACATTAAAAGAACCTCCCCCTCCACGAGATACTCCGGACCTGTCTATACTACCGTGCTCGATTCTCACCGCTGATAGTTTATGAATTCGCCATAAACCGTATAGCGCTACGAGCGCTTGGGTCTGTATGCAGCACGGTCTGTAGGTCTAGTCAGAAACATAAAACATGGACATGAGTAGACATGAGTGAGTTCTGACTTCTTTTCTGTGTTCTGTGTATTTATTATTCATATTATATACATAATATACTTAATTGAGCATATAGAAAGTTGGGACAAAAGGTACTGATCTGTATGTTATGGGTAATCACTGAGCCGTATCTTACGAGGGCACTGAATATTTTAGTATCAATTGATCATCGTTCATCGTTTATGGATAAATAAATAGAAGTTATAGAGAGTGAGCATAGGTTAATAATAATACTTTTTTTCATTTACATTAATGTGTTGTAATTTATTATATAATACTAACAAGGCATGGTATATATAGTACTAACAAGGCATTTTATAAAAATCTTATAAAAATCTTATAACAATCTAGAATAGTATAATGATTGTATTAAGGTAGATGTAAGTGTGATATCAAATATCATTAGAGTTATATTTGCAATAAATGATAATATATTTTTGAAAGTTGCTTTTAATATTGAAAAATTAAATATTAATATCGAATCATAATTGTTCAATAAACAGATTATTTCAAATATATGTTTTTTTCTTATAGAACGTGAATATTTGCATCATATAATATAATCAATAAGCTTCGATTAACAGAGAATTATTGAATTCTTTAAGGTAATATATAATTTAGGATTATTGAAACTTATATATTCTTCTATATGTACTCACATCATCATATCATTATGTTAAGAAAGTAATTCAACTAATTTTTGTATACCAATTATTGCTAATTATCATAAATGTAAACATAAGTGAATGATATTATGATTTCAATAATTTCATAACATTATTTATAGAGTATCAATAAAAAGTCACTGGTTTGAACATAATAATTTAATTGTTGAAAGCACATATTTACGTAAATAAAATCAAAGATTGTCCTGGATTTCTCTCGTACTGATGTGACAATTTAGTCAAGCCTATCTTTCTTTTCCAAATATTTAGTTATGACCACTTTGCTTGAATTTTCAATATTTTTAAGCATGTAACAACGTACATTGTAGGTGATGAATGAATAATTTTGTTATCCTTTTATTTGTTTGACCATGCAAATTGAATTGATATCCTATATGATTCTTGCTATTGCAATATTCATGCCGTAAACAGTATGCAATTTATAACTTATATATATTATTAAGCTCAAGACAAACTAATTATTCATTGCATTCAACATGAATCGTTATTGCTTAAAAAGATGGATAAATATAATAAAGCATATAAATAAATGCTTTTGAATTTCATTAATATCTGTCTAAAAAATCATTAAGGAGTTTTTAGTAAAATCATTACGGATTCAAACTGTGACGCTCATTAGCTAATTATTAATTAGTTAGTTAATTCAAACAAAAATACCAATTGATTTTATTTGGTTTTTCACTACTACTTATAAAAAATTGTAGTGAATTATACTGAAAGCTGTTTATTTAAGGTGAGTTGCTCGTGTAATTTTCCATACTTTTTCTCCAACACTTTTTTAATCATAGAATTACAAGTTTCCTATGTAGGATTTACAAATCACTTGTTCTATTTTATAAGACAAATCTTTTGACATGAATCTCATCCTATTACCATACTTCTAAATTATGAACATGTAAGTTTGATTATTTCTTTTTTATATTAAATGTTTTATGTGCACATTACTTTGACTGAAGCAGTTGTTTGAGGGATTATTTTGTTCGATGAAGGAAGCCTTATAAAAAATACTTAAAATTTTTTACTAAAGCCTCTTTCAAACTGAAATAAGCTATGAAATGTTGCAAAAGGTCGATTTTCCA